TTGATTTACGATTCACTTTTATCACTTTCACACGACTCTCATAACTAGTTACTACCGAAAAAGATTAGACTGAACCTTACAATTAATAAATAGTACGTACTTGTAAAACAGCTCGTCATCGTTTTAAAGCTGCATACATATATACATATGTATGTATGTATATTGAATAATTTTAATTCTATCAGCGATAAGGGTGCGATGGATGGGTACTTGAAAGACATAACATAAGTATGAAAGAGTACTCAAAGTTTATTAGCTTAGTGCATATACATATTTATGCATCGATCACACATGCATACTTATTTATATACATAGTACATAAATATGTGTGTCATTCGTATTATATCAACACTCCTTACCTATGTGTCTCCGCAGCGCTGGAGCCCATCTAGTTGCAATTAGCGTTTTCTTTTCTCAAAATAATTTTGCCTTTATTCTGCCCTGCGCCAGGGCTATCAAGTTTTCGTTTTTTTTTTTTCTCAGCATCTTTACATGGCTATTGCGTGATCCTTCTTTAAAATGTTGCACTCTGATAATTTTGCCATATAAGAAGGTGACACTTTTTTCCGAGAAAAGAAAACGCCATTATTTTCGCGGTTAGAGCTCGATATAAATGGCTGTTTGTATTTGGAAGTTTTTTTTATTTGAACAAATAAAATCTTTAATATTATATCTTAGCTAAATAAAAATTTTTGATAGCATAATAGTCTATGCCATTTGTCTTAGGGCAATAAATTCTCACTTAATATGGCATTAGTAATATTATAATATCTATATCCGAAAACTTAAACTCTTCTTATTATATCAGTATTTCCAAGATTTTAGAGAGTCAATAAAACAAAGACCACTCTCCTACTCGAAATATTGCATTAATTTTTCTTGAATATTATACTGCTGGCAATTTAACCGACTTGTGTATCATTGAGACGAATAATTTTATTTGCAGCCACTGCATCCCTGGTCGCAAATTAATAGGCAAACAAAGACAAGTTTCGAGTGTACTTCTGTCATAAAAAAAATTGTCTCATAAATACCATCTCATGGTAACAGAAATAGGAAGAGAAGCTCATTAAAATATTTTTATTTTCTTAATTTTGTTTTAAGCGAAGGACCTACTACTTAACGAATGCATAAAATCTGTAGGCTACCTATGGACCAAATCAAAGTTGAAATGAAAATATCAGCTTTGGTTGTTGATAATTGGCTTCTGGACTTTAGTATTGAATTAAGAAGATAATTTATAAGTCGCATGTAAATACGAGGGTCGCTAAAAAGTCCTTAGAATGCCTAAGAAAGAAACAAATTTTGTCGGAAAAATTCTGTTATTGGTTTTCAAGATATGCGAAAGCTCGAATTGTCTTCATGAAATATCATTTGTCGTTTTTCGTTGAACTCTTCTATAGCCACATGTCCCGTTATTCCAAAGAAACAAGCAACATTTTTTTTTTTTCAAAATGCTTTTACGAATTCTAAAGTCTTTTTAGTGACCCTCGTAAGCACAAATAAAATACAAGAAAGAGTGCTACTCTACTTCATATTAACGATAGTAATTCATTTCTAAATGATTTAAGATGTTGATACGTGATGACAGCACGACTAACGCCGCTATGACTGCGATATGCCTTTAACAAGTGAGTAGTATTGGCTAGTTGAAGTACGTGTTCTTAAGAGCAGCGCTTATCAATATCGGTGGCAAGAGATAACTTTACTCAACAACTGTCAAGTACACATAAACATACCTAAATACGTATTATGTGTATACATATGTATGCATGTATGAAAATCAAATAAAACATTTAAGTTCAGCTGCATTTTCACTACAAGTAAATAGTAGGAAATTATTGAACTTCTAATTAAAATGCTGACGTTTAATTAGTAGAAAGTACTTACGGAGAAATTAAACTAATTAATTGAGCTCTCAAATGATCGAAGTACATGCAAATATTTTAATACATATGAACATTTGTATTATTATGAATTGAGACTGTTCGCCAACCCGATCCGAGTTGAGCGGTGTAGTTAGTTACCGATCGTTGAATGGCCTTAAACTTGGCCATGTCCCCACGTCTTTCCTTCAAGTGCCACAAGCAGGCAACTTAATAAACGTGTTCCTGCCTCGGAGCTTCTTGCAGATTTTGATAGGGTGGGCCGAGAACGAGAACTGCTTGTCCAACTTTACACTCAATCCAATCGAATTTCCCACCGTTTTGACTCTATATCCAGCTCCAACCTAACTTCTGTCGGCCAGGCAGTGAACAAGAAGACGGTGAATTTAGCGACGAAGATTTGTAGGTTTCGCAAATTGAAGGACTCGCTGAGATAGTAATAATTGATTGCATGCAAAATATGATTAAGACTCTTTGAGAGGAGATCCAGGGGCTCCGAGAGATAGGTACATGCTGAACAGGATAGGTGATAACTTCTTTAAGTAATTTTTGATGCTTCGAAATTACAGTTGGATAAGGTCTCGATACAAAGGTTGGACTTGACAATGTGAAATTTAATTCCAAGTTAAATGAAGAGTAAGGCGTATCACGAAAAAAACTTTAGCGTATGTCAATTTCGTTTGAATACTTATGTCGAGAAAAAAATTTGGGTGTAAAATTTTTTTTTAAGCACCCACTAAAAACCGTTAAATTACGTTGTTTGCTATAACTTTCTTATTTGAAATCCGATTTTTAAAATCTTTATGTCGGCGAGAAGAACTTGCCTAAGACTTTAATTTGCCATTAAACAATTTTGGTTTAAAAAACCCTTTTGATTTATGCCCGCACTAATTTTGGAAATACTATCTCTAGATTTTTATTTTAAATTAGTGAAGGTATAAATCAAAGCGACTTTTAAACCCGAAAATGTTTGATGCCCAATTATAATCCTGTTCGAGACATTTTCGGCGACATAAAGATGTGTATCAAGCGTCCCTTTTGCAAGTGAATTTAAGAAAGAAAATTTAAAAAAAAATTTACAACACAACCCAGTTTCTAATGAACCTAAAATTAGCCGAACAAACTTTTGGAAAATTCTGGTTACCAACAGAAAGGACCAGACGATTTTAGAGATTTCACAGATCCCAACAAGATTAGATCTCCGAAATACCCCTTGGTCGCGTAAAATCCGATCCGAGTCATTCCGGTATGAGTTATTCCGGTACTTAGAACCGGTTTCCGTGGGAACCACCTCCTCACATGCGCACTCTACCCGACTGGGATAACACCCGTCAACCTCTGGTTCGACCTCATCGAAACAACAACTTTCTTGAGCATACCGTTAATTGAGCTTGACGATAACGATTGAGGGACTATCCGACACTTGGCAGGGTGGAATAACCGCTACAACAACAACAACCAGCCGCTTTTATTATTATTTCTTTAAACAGTCTCTGGAGACGATGTAAAATTTAAAATAATTTTTTTAAAGAGTTTCTCAGGAAACGTGTTGTTTCTACGCAAAGAACATCAGGAAGATATACGTAACTTTTTTCGAGAAAAGACCGTTAATTTTAACGAACTGTCAGTTTTTAAGCTGTTTATGATAATTTTAATTTATTCACGTATCTTCCTGGTTGTCTTAATTGATTTTTAATTACTTAGGTATTTAGCACTATTGCCTTTTTGCAATCAAATTTTGTGCAAATGTATACTAATTGTCCAACGATCACTTAAAAAACTAAACTAACGAAATTGTATTATTTCAATTAATTTACCAATTGACTTAGCAATAAGATCAAGATCATTACGTTGAGTGCGTTGAACGCTGTTTGCTACATATGTAACTATAATTGGTTCAAATTATACAAAGATACATATGTACGTATACAATGTACCGCATTTATTTATTGTTATTTATTATTTATTTATTTATTTTTTATTATTCTTCACGTTTCACCAATTTTTTAATTATTTGTATTTAATTTTCACAAGCACATATTATTTTTTATTTGAAAAAAAAAATGTAATAATAACCACCCACCTTCAAATTTCAAAGGAACCCTAGAAAGAGGAAGTCACGCGCATAAAGAGCGCGGCACGCAAACTAAACCGCTGAGAAGCTATTAGCTGACTTTTATAGCGCACAAGCTTAAGCGCTGCATCGATCGATTGTGTACTATTTGGTCACATTAGTACTGGAATCATTGTCGTCGAAATGTACCAGCGCCAATGTTGTCAGAAAAAGAGTGTGAAATTCAACAAATTGAGATATTGAGCATGCCGACGCCAGCGTGAGTTCTCCTGATCATTGTCATGATTATTATTATTGCCAGCAAACAATTGTGAGATATCGAGAAGATAGAGAAGCCGATCGCTTGGCTGAACAAACTTGTATTGATCAATGAGGCGGCTTAAGGCCCGTTTACATACAACTTTGGCGTTGCGTTGAAAGGCGATTGGCCGGCCGGTTCTGAACTAGGCTGTGCCTTTTTGGTCGTCGGGTACTAGTTGCACGCAGTGTATGAAGCTATAGACATGTCAGAACGCCGCACTCTGGACAATGACAGGATGCCCTATCATGTCGCCTGAGCACCACCTGCACAGCGAGGCCCACCATAAAGGCTTACCGTAAAGGAGCATAACAAACAGTTTCTAGTGGGATGCCACAAGAGTATTTTCGTTTTCAAAATACTGCGATTCAGGTTCCTAAAATATCTCGTCTTGGGACAGCCAATCTGGAATCTATTTAAAAGACCTGACTGGATTCAGTATAATACTACTGAGATTGTTTGCCGACATGAAGGAATCTCTCATGGATCCAATGCGTATCCGAGGAATCCGCCTTATATTTTATTGATTAAAAAATGCCACGGATTTTCTTTCTGGTGATCAACTTGAGATGGCTTAGCTAAAACCCGAATCTGTTGAAGCCTCTGAAGATAGGGGGATTTATCGAATATCGCCGCAATTAAAAAAGTATCTCCGAGTTGATACCCAGCTTCAGACAATTTAAAACTCATCTTATCTACGTAAAAATTTTTAATACTCAATTTTTTCTGAATATAGTTTAAAAAATTGTTTAAGCAATCAAATTTCTTTCAAATCAAAGTACTCCAAACTTAACGCCAAAATGCAGTTATTTAATTTCATTTGGTTATTCCAGAGCGAGCCGACCTTATCAAGAATCACATTCTATAAATAAAGGAAAATCAGTTATTAGCTCAAAAATATATACATATGTATATATTTTTAAAGAGACTTTGCACTTACTGTCTGATGTCGTCCAGCCAATGTGCACATTGTTCTTCTGATTCTCTTCTTCCAGCCAAATGCGTAGTGGTTCAAAATATTCAGCGATAGCTTTGCCGCTCATTGTACGTTCACCGTTGAAGGCCTCCAGTGCATCAGGCCATGGTTTCGAGGCGCCCAAGGAAAGCACGTTTCTGAGAATTAACAAAAAAAAATATTTTACTTACGTCGCTGTGCTAAAAATCCTGTAAAAAAAAATAAAAATAAAGCTCACTTAAAAGCTTGACCCGCTTCGAAACTGCCATAGATGTCGCAGTTATCCAAAGCCAATTCTGGATTGGTGGGATCATATTGGCCAGCCTTGATGCAAGCGGATTTGTAGAATTGGAATTGAATGATGTACGAAACTAAATATCTGTAAAATGGAATCTTTTTATAATTTCAGAAAGGCTTTGCGAAGAATAAGGGGCGAAAGCTACTCAGAAGTCAAGATATAAATATGTACCTCAAGTACTCTACATCGGCGGACACGTGATATTTTGCTGGTGCATCGAAATCGTTCTCAGTGCGCACTACTGGTGGTTCAATGCCAGAGTACTCTTCGCGCAGCTTCCAGAAGGCGCAGTTCCAATCCTTTTTGTCCACTTCACCACGGAACAATGCCCAACGATATTTATCCATGGTGAATGCGAAGGGCAGAAAGACGATCTTATCCAGTGCCTATTAATAAAATATTTAGTTTGCATTTTCTTCCACAAAGAAACATCTATTTTACGTACAGTCAAGAACAATTGTTTAATGAGTGCCTCTTCATCGCGTTCATAGTTCTTCAGGAGACCAATTGATTCCAAATGTTTTGGTGTAGATACCGAGAGCGAGAGCACATCCCCGACAGCCTCGTGGAAGCCAGGATTAGCGCCAGTGCGATACACGAAGGGCAAATGCTGGTATTGCAAGTAGTATTGGATGTGTCCCAATTCGTGATGCGCCGTAAAGAGTTGGTTCATAGTCACACGTGTGCATTGCTTGATGCGCACATCATCTACCAAATAGAAGTCCCAAGCACTAGCATGGCAAATCAAATCACGACCATCGTCAGGCTTCACCAAGATACTCTTATCCCAGAAATCTCTACAGAGTTGTATCGAGTCAGTATATATTTATGAGAAAAGTAATTGAAAGCACTTACTGTGGAACCTTAGTCAAGTTCAACGATTGGAAGAAATCGTCGCCCATTTGAAACATTTTCAATGGCGTGTAGCCTTGTGCAACCATCTCATCGGTGACATCAATGAGCGGCTTGTCTGGGAAGGGTGAAATAATGTCGGCAATGCTCGACCACTGTTGTGCCCACATGTTGCCCAGCAAATGCATCGGAATGGGGCCCTTCTCAGACACAACGTCATTGCCATAAAACTGACGCAAACGATGACGTACATAACCATGCACTTGCTGATACAGTGGTCGCAATTCATCGAAAATTTCCTCAAGTTGCTGCTCAATGGTGTCATCCTCGTACTCATCCAACCAAAGTTCAGCGCCAGATGTAAAATCTGTAGGAATAGAAGAAATAAAAAGAAAAA